AATTACAAAAAACGTGGTCATGATTTGTTTACATTTTACACAAGTTGAGAAACCAATCATGAATGTTTCACGGTGTCGATCATTGATCTGATAATTAATAGAAACGCACTTATATGAACTTGGGAGAAAATCCGAAACGCCCCAGCTTGTCTGGCAAAACAGCCGTTGGCGTTTCTCGACTTCCCTGTCGTTTATATCGCGAAAATCTCGGCATTTTTCTTACTTTGAAATACGGTCAAACTGAAATTCGTAATTCTTCCATGAACAGGAAGTTCAGCTAGCTGTGTAAACTGTAAAATTAAGTGACCCATTAAGTGCATGGCTTCACCTGACAGCTTTGGTGTCAAACACATTGATTAAACACCAAATTATCTTTGCTTTATGTCAAAAACAATTTGTCTATTTCAAAAATGTTTGCCAAAAAGAAAAAAAAATGAGTTACTTCCCCTTTTTTTATCACCTTTTCACAATATATTCCGTTTATTTATGTTTTTTTTCCCGTAATTAAATAAATATAAAACAAATTGAATACAAATGCATATTAGAATATTCTTTTAATTATTTTTAACCTGAAAACACTACGAATATAAATATTTTGAAAATTGTTTTTTTCATCTTCACCTCCATTCATTGCTCTATCAAGTGCATTACAATAATAGTTCAAATTGCATTATTGTAAGTTTGCATAAGATATTAAAGATGAGTAACTAACAATAAAGATAAAAAAAAAAGTAACTAACAGGTTAACTTATATGAAACTCAAAAGCCACTAAATAATTAAATTCAGCTGCAGTGTGAAGGTGTTATTAGTCATTATTAATGACTTGAGATTTTTAAAGCTAAACATAAAAAAATTGTGTCAAAAGTATTGAATTTTATTACTCCCCTTCAACTGAAACTTGATTTTACCTTAGTGCCTGAGTTTTATTTTAGTTTAATTGCTCTTTTTTCAATGACATTTTACGAATAAAATTGTCATTTTTCTGACTAGAGCACCCTGCCCTTTTTAAATCCTGGCTAGAACACTGTATCTTCATGTGAATGTGAATATATATATATTTAACAAACAATAGTTAATTTCAGTCCTAAAGATTTTCTTTTTTATTTGGTTGAATTTGTAATACAGATTATATTTTTTCTTAAGTCCCAATACCAGGAATCATCCAGGCCTTTTTTTTTTTTCCATTCAGATAGAATTTGTAAATGTCCTGAAAGTTGGAGGAATGATGATCGAAAAGTCCTGATATATTCTGGTTTATATAATATGATTTTTGAAAGTCTTGAGATATCCTGAGAATTCCCCCAGTTTTAAGCTGCTTGATTTGAAAGTCCTGACATTTTCTGGAATTCTCCCATTAAGTTTTTTCCTAAAAAAAGGACTTATAGCCTAACAGGATATTTTCAGGATATCCCAGGATAATCTTGAGATATCCTTATTATAAAAGTTGTCAGGATTTAATCTGCAAGGGGTGTATGCATCATTTGATGGACAATGTAAAAATAAAAGTATTGGTTACAGAACCGTCATATAAATAGTGACAAAAAGTAATTTTAACAAAAAATAATATGTCGCATTTAATAAGTTTACACTGGTTGAAATAAACACCAAAGTATTCTTGAAATCCTTTCCTGTTACAAGATATATACAAGGTATTGCACAGTTTAGGAAATTGTTTGTTGCAACTTTCTAGCAAACAAACTCTTTCTTGCAACATTGCAGAAAAATACTGCAACTTTCTCACGAACAAATATTATTTCAGTAACACTGAGAGATTATGTTACAAGTTACAGCTGCAACAACATGTAACTTTCTTGCTAGTACTTCTTGTAAACAAATTTGTTTGCTCCAATATAATAGAAAACTTTTTACCTCAGTAAGGGATGTTAAATTTTCAGACACAATTATGCTGAAATTTTCTAAGTTTTTTTCCATCAAGCAAAATTACAGAGTTTAAATACCATCACACTTTCCATCAACAAAATATTCTAAGTCCAAATTCCATCTCACTTTCCATCAAAGAAAATGTTTAAGTCCAATTTCCATCAAACTTCCTTCATTTCCATCCTATTATCCATCAGGTGGAATAAATGCCATCATATTTTCCATAAGAGGGTAAAAATGCCATCCAATTTTCCATCAGGGGTTCAAGATGCCATCAAATTTTCCATCAAAAGAATGCGGATGGAAATAAAATTCCTAATTTCCATCATCCTTTGATGGATTTTTTTGGTTTAGGATGGAATTCCATCAAGTACCATCAACTTTCCATCAATTGTCCATCAAGTGTTGATGGAAAAAGAAGAAATTGATGGAAGATCTAGGGAAGGGTAGTTGTTAATTTCTGTATCATTTAGTCTCTTGTGAAGAGTTGTCTCATTGGCAATCATACTACATCTTCTTTATATTATAAAAGTTTTTTCAACTTTTCCAAATCCCATATTTGAATCTTATGTAAAATTGTACTACAGTAACTGCAGGGTTACAATTTTCCAATAATAAAAAATATAACTACGGTTTAAACCAAGTGATTTTTATAATTTGTTCTTATGGTGTGATGTTAATACACCACTGTCACAGGTTAGAGGAGGGTTGGTACTCACAAACATGTTTAACCCCTTTTCATATATATTTGCCTGTCCTAATTCAGGAGCCTACATGCAATTGAGTGGTTGACGTTTGTTGCTGTTTATAATATTTTTTTTGTCGTCAATTGTTTTGTGCATAAATCCTGCCGTTAGATTTCTCGTTTGAATTGTTTGCATTTGTCATTTCGCGGTATGGGTTATGCTCATTATTGAAGGCCAAACGGTGACCTTTAGTTGCTTACTTCTACGTCATTTGGTTTCTTGTGGGGAGTTGTTGCATTTATGGGTAATTGATAGTCATACCACATCTTCTAATTTTTATCTCTTGTGTACATTCAGAAAGAACGATTATTTTATGCAAATCTGTGATCTCTTAAAAGTTCGTTAGAGTTTCAACAGTTGGTCATCGGATTCACACTATGAACATTTTGAAAGTAAGATTATTTCGAATACACGACATGTACAACATTTAGTTTAAACCATGGTAGAATAATTCTATTGAACATATATCATACAGTTAACATGAATCACCATGATAAAACAGTTTGATTGACTGCGATTGCGGACTTTCAGGATTTCTCTCATCCTGTCAATAAATAACGCGCCAAATATTTAAAGACCCATTTTAAAAATTCTTTGATTGAAAAATACGGGTATCAATGTGTTTGGAGGGTGTTAAATTTGAAGATATAAAATTTAAAAGTAGATATCTGGTATCTTCCGCCATCTCGGGTTGTAAAATACTAGAAAACAATCGGTCTAGTTCTTTAATGAAATAATATGTATTTTAAATGAGGAATGCAATTCATTTATAAGACTCTTCATCTAACTGAAGATAATTGTAGTTGTTTGTTTTATTGTATTATTCCAATTATTTAAAAAAAATTGCAAAACCTGCAGCTTGATAAATATCTCTGTGACCTCACTTTTTATTAGGCTATCATTAGTTTTGAAAACCACACGAGTCTTCATTTAATCAAAGTAAGAATATCTTCATTTAATCAAAGTAAGAATAAATTGTATCTTTTTTTTTTATTATTTAAACCCCTACTCTACATTACTTGAATAGTTATGAATAGTTGTCCTGTTTGCTTCTGTCACATTTTTATGAGACGGCCATTATTTTACGATGTTGTCTACAGTTTACGATGCTGTCTACAGTTATGACGTCATATTTTAGCATTACGTCAAAAACACATGACGGCAGCAATGGCAAGTCTGTCCCCTGCAATACACAGAAATCTTCCTGCATTGAAACCCCGTGTCGAGCCTCAATGTATTGTCCTTACGTATACCCATCTGTGACGTACCATGTATTGTTACAGAACAGACGACATAGGCAACCGTTGCCAAGCCTAAATAAAGACCGTTGGCATTTGAAAGGAGTACAGAAAGCCTAAATATAGGCTTTACGGCATAGTAAGGGTTAATGTCCAGTGGCAAATAGTACACCCATATCCATGAAGACAGGACAATAACATTTAACGGTTAGTGGCAAACTTGTACGAATATATTCTTCTTTGTATAAGACTGATAGGCTGAGTCATATTATTTCAATTTAAAAACTGCCAGCTTTATAGATTAGTTTAATTGTCCCCAGTCGCATGAATAATATGCATCATATGCATGTACATGTACATTTGTGTACATGTATGACAATCAATTTTTTTTTAGTTTTGCTCCAAGTTGACAAAATTTTCTCTTACTCCTATTTGCTGTGCATAAATTTACGATTATTTACCGGAGAGACAGCCTTGAAATGCTAGTTTAAAATCTTTTAAACAAATTTTACTCTCCTCATGTCAAATCAACAACCATCCTAAACATGTTAAAAAATTGAAAACAACACGTTTAATAATTTTATGCGTCCGAAGCGCTTTTCTGGATTTACCTTCATCAGGAACGCTCAATGCCAAACATTTGAAATCCGAGGGATGTATAAGTACATTAAATTGCTTTGGTTGGCAGAAATTAGATTACAGGGATCAAGCCAAGCACCTGTCAGAGGCAGTTGAACTCAGAACTGCAAGGATCAATTATTTTCACGAGTAGAGTGGAATCTTATATGAAAAATTGATTTGCAATAAGTTTAATTCTAGTTTTTTTTTATAAAAAAAGGACTTGTTTTATATTTTTTTCTGTATTAACCTTCATCAGGCATGCTCAACCCTAAACCTTTGAAAGCCAGGAATGTAAATACGTACATTTGTACATGTAGAAATATTAGAATAGCCAAACTTGTCTAAGGTCCACTTTGGAAGAGGGAGTTGGAACCTTAGTTTCTTTATAATTTCTTAATTTATGGTTGGGATTTTTTAGACAGTTGCTGTGAATCATGTTGATGTTGAACTGATAATATTTTAATTGTTCAAAGTGTAAATTAGAATTGATATATATTATTTTTTTCATTTTAGTGACGTAGTGAAAGTGAGTACAATTGGGTAAGTACAATTGTATCTTGTGTATGTGACTAGCATATTAATTTGTAATTTGGGGGATTCAGACAGAGTCAGTCAGAAAAAATAATGGAGTTTTGGCTGAAAAAACTGGATCCTTCGAGTGTTTTTAGTAAAAATACATTTTTTTTTGTACCAGGAATTAAACAAATTTGATTGAAGATATAAAGAAGATATGATTTGAGTAAAAGAACCAATTTCCTTTTTTTTTTTGTGTGTTACATACGTACATGTATGCAGCAAGTTGAATATCAATGAGGAACAGCAGACTTGCACAGAGGAATTCAAAAGATTCAAAAACAAATAAACAACAACGAAAAATTAACAACACATTAATTTAAAGAGATGTGTGGTATATGTAATGAGGCAGCAAACTAAGATATTAATAGACAAAAGGCCACGAGGCAACATATAGTCTGAATAATGAAAAACATTTAAATATGAGGTATAAGAGAGGCAAAAGATACCAAAGGGACAATTAAACTCATAAGTTGAAAATAAACTGACAATGCCATGGCTAAAATAGAAAAAGACCAACATGACCAACAGACAAACAACAGTACACTATTAAACAAAACATAGAAAACTAAAGACTGAGCCACACGAACCCTGCCAAAAACTGGGAGTGATCTCAGGTGGTCTGGAAGGGTAAGCAGATCCTGCTCCACATATGGCACCCACCATGTTGCTCATGTAAGTGTAAACCCTGTGATATGTCTAATTCGGGTAATGGCAAGGTTCCTGACTTATGACAGCCACATGAAAATGACGCCGGGTTTAATGTCAAGGCTCCTGACTTAGGACACTGGCACATGAAAATGTGGCCTGCTTTAATAACAAGGTTCATGACTTAGGACAGGCACATGAAAATGTGGCCATGTTTAATGATAAGGTTACTAAAATAGGACTGGCACATGAAAGGGTGGCTGGGTTAAACTAGTTTTTGTCGAGTCTGCGACTTTTGTCGCAGAAAGCTCGACATAGGGATAGTGATCCGGCAGCAGCGGCGGCGTTAGCTAACTTCTTAAAAGCTTTATATTTTAGAGGTTGGAAGATCTGGATGCTTCATACTTTGTATATGGATGCCTCATGTTACGAAGTTTCCGTCAGTCACATGTCCAATGTCCTTGACCTCATTTTCATGGTTCAGTGACTACTTGAAAAAAAAGTTAAGATTTTTTGTAATGTTAAATTCTCTCTTCTTATAAGTAATAGGATAACTATATTTGGTATGTGCGTACCTTGCAAGGTCCTCATGCCCGTCAGACAGTTTTCACTTGACCTCAACCTCATTTCATGGATCAGTGAACAAGGTTAAGTTTTCGAGGTCAAGTCCATATCTCAGATAAAATAAGCAATAGGTCTAGTATATTCGGTGTATGGGAGGACTGTAAGGTGTACATGTCCAACTGGCAGGTGTCATCTGACCTTGACCTCATTTTCATGGTTCAGTGGTTATAGTTAAGTTTTTGTGTTTTGGTCTGTTTTTCTTATACTGTATGCAATAGGTCTACTATATTTGGTGTATGGAATGATTGTAAGGTGTACATGTCTAGCTGGCAGGTGTCATCTGACCTTGACCTCATTTTCATGGTTCAGTGGTCAAAGTTAAGTTTTTGAGTTTTGGTCTTTTTTTCTAATACTGCATGCAATAGGTCTACTATATTTGGTGTATGTAATGATTGTAAGGTGTACATGTCTAGCTGGCAGGTGTCATCTGACCTTGACCTCATTTTCATGTTTCAGTGGTCAAATTTAAGTTTTTGAGTTTTGGTCTTTTTTCCTAATACTGTATGCAATAGGTCTACTATATTTGGTGTATGGAATGATTGTAAGGTGTACATGTCTAGCTGGCAGGTGTCATCTGACCTTGACCTCATTTTCATGGTTCAGTGGTCAAAGTTAAGTTTTTGAGTTTTGGTCTTTTTTTCTAATACTGCATGCAATAGGTCTACTATATTTGGTGTATGGAATGATTTTAAGGTGTACATGTCTAGCTGGCAGGTGTCATCTGACCTTGACCTCATTTTCATGGTTCAGTGGTCAAAGTTAAGTTTTTGAGTTTTGGTCTTTTTTTCTAATACTGCATGCAATAGGTCTACTATATTTGGTGTATGTAATGATTGTAAGGTGTACATGTCTAGCTGGCAGGTGTCATCTGACCTTGACCTCATTTTCATGTTTCAGTGGTCAAATTTAAGTTTTTGAGTTTTGGTCTTTTTTCCTAATACTGTATGCAATAGGTCTACTATATTTGGTGTATGGAATGATTGTAAGGTGTACATGTCTAGCTGGCAGGTGTCATCTGACCTTGACCTCATTTTCATGGTTCAGTGGTCAAAGTTAAGTTTTTGAGTTTTGGTCTTTTTTTCTAATACTGCATGCAATAGGTCTACTATATTTGGTGTATGGAATGATTTTAAGGTGTACATGTCTAGCTGGCAGGTGTCATCTGACCTTGACCTCATTTTCATGGTTCAGTGGTCAAAGTTAAGTTTTTGAGTTTTGGTCTTTTTTCTAATACTATATGCAATAGTTCAACTATATTTGGTGTATGGAAATATTTTATGATCTATATGTCAGTCACGCAGGTTTTATTTGACCTTGACCTCATTTTCAAGGTTCATTGCTCAGTGTTAAGTTTTTTTGTTTTGGTCTGTTTTTCTTAAACTATAAGCAATAGGTCAACTATACTTGTTGTATGGAAGAATTGTTAGCTGTACATGCCTGCCTAGCATGGCTCATCTGACCTTGACCTCATTTTCATGGTTCATTGGTCAATGTTTAGTTTACTTGGTTAATGTTAAGTTTATGTGACAGTTGTAAAAAAGCTTTATATTTAGGACTATCAACATAATATCAATGATTAGAAAAGAAGGCGAGACATTTCAGCGTGTGCACTCTTGTTAGAGGTCTCAATCCTCCCCCTTTTTTTATCTTGATCTGTAACATGCACAAAGAACATAACATGGAAAGTCAGAATTGAAAAGAATCAGGATATAAGGCTTAGCTATTATGCCAAAAAATATTTATCACAGATTTTCAGGGTTGAGGCTTTTACCATAAATTGCCTGTAATATTACTATATTTGTACTTAACATGAGTGTTAAATGATCTAGATTTCTCTTAAAACACGTAGAAGAAGGCAAGTTGTATGAAATTACTAGCACAAAAAAGTGGCATGATTGCCATGTACATTTTATATTTTTCAGACAAATTGAAAATTTCATTAAAAGTACTGTTTTTATGATGTATTTTATGAGGAATGAGAGAGAGCCATCAGATATACCAGAAAATGTTTTTGAAGATTTGTTTAATAAATTTTTGTTGATGTGTGACCTGGTTCCTAGGTAAGATATTCTTAAAGATGTGATTATACATATCAAAAATATTGTTTCAAGATTGATTGGTGTTTTAACGCCACTCTCAGCAGAATTTGATTAACATGCCTACCTACAATGTAATTGTGATGCGTATAAACAGTGAAACCTGTGTACAGTGTATGCAGCACCTTCTAAACTGAACTTTTATGTGAAGAATCAATGCAAAACGATGAATATACTCTTTATTAGTCAGCCTTTACAGCAGTGAGATCACTATTGTCACATGATTTACTTCACATTGTGGCTTTGATGCCATCGCTACTGGGTGACGCTGGCATTAAGGTTTACCCTTGTACGTTTATATGTCTCAAATTGGTTTCGGCACTCTTACTTGTCTTTGCCTCACCAAATGTTATGAAACTCATACACAATGCTTATTACCACCAAATATTGATAGATTTCGAATTTGGATGGTGTCACTTTCAATGTTCTCGAGTTATGTGTCTTTATTAAAATGAAAAAATTGCTGAAATTTTGCCATTTGCTCACTCTAACTTTACTTTGCTAAACTAAATGTTATGAAACTTATACACAATGCTTAATTGCCACCAAACACAGATAAATTCCAAATTTAGGTTGCATCACTTTCACGATTCTTCAGCTATGTACCTTAATAAATGGAAAAATTGCTGAATTTGCGGTATGTTTACAAGCAGGGGTATCTGTGTCCCATGGACACATTCTTCTTGTAGTTATAGTAAAATGTTGTTTCATTCTAGACTATTTGATTAAGATGATTGCATTACACTTAATGGTAACAATAGATATATCTCTGATATCCATCGTCCTGAACATGCATGAAATATTTGCCACTGGACATTAAGCAACCAACAATTAATCTGATATTCGAATTTCATCAATAAGTTATCCTTTATATTGGAATCATTGTATGTTTTTCATTTTTATCATTATTTGGAATGTTCCTTACACTTGAATATAAAAATGCCTTACAAATCTCATTGTAAAATACAGAAATAATATAAAGATTCACATGATTCAGACAACCAATGGCCAAACCATGATATTTGTTAGATAACTTGGGCGTGAAATGAAAAAGAATGCGTCTAATTATATTGGGTTGGAAAAGGAAAAGTGTAGTAAATATAAGAAACGTAGTCTCAAGCATAAATACTTCAAAATATAGAAATATAAGAAAAATCTAAAGAAAGCACAAACAACAAACTCTGTCAGTGCTATTGTGTACGAAATCCCTACATGCACTTTGACAACACCAAAAGAAAAAAAAACAGTTTTATAATTGCTATTTTTCCTGTTGTCACAGTGAAGCCAATTGAACACAAAGCACAAACCTAATACATGTAATAGGGAGCTAATATTAACTCTATAGAAATTGTTGCAAAATGATCATATTTAGTAAGTCAATTGTTTTAATATAAAAATAAGGAGAAGTGGTATTATTGCCAATGAGACAACTATCCACCAAAGTTCAAATACAGTGGATGTAAGCAATTATAGGCAACCGTACGGCCTTCAACAATGAGAAACCCATACCGTATAGTCAGCTATAAAAGGTTTATTTAGCTACGTATTTTTAAATGTTTCCTTTTATCTCTTTTGACAGTAGCTCATTATGGCAAGTAAAGGCTAAACTTCTGCAACAGCATGTTCAATCAGAAACAGATGTAGTTATTTTACCTAGTGATCCTACACAAAGTGGAGCTGTAACTGCTCTGTCAATTGTAAAGGTTGGTATGAATAAAAAAAAAAATTCAGCTCATCAATCTTACCAAGCACTCCAAAAATCAGAAACTTTGGTGATTCTTTTGTATTGTTAATTGTGTCAAAAATGTGTTTGACCTCATGCAGGGCCATTCTAATTTCTTATGCCTCTGCTGTAGGGAATAAGGCATTAAGTGTTATCCTTGATTGTCCTTTTGTCCGTCCTTCCTTCCCTCTGTCAGTCCGTCCTCCCGTCCATCCAATTTTCCTTTCCTCTAACAAGTTTTTCTCATCCAAATTTTATGAAACTTATACACAATGATAAGAACCACAACTCACAGACAGGGTTCAAATTTTGGCAGTAAGTCACTCACCGTTCTAGAGTTATGCCCCTTTATAATTTGGAAATTTGCAAACTTTTCAGTTTTTGCACTCCAATTTAAGTTTGTCTCATCCAAATTTAATGAAACTCATACAGAATGCTAAATACCACAACACGCAGACTCGTAAGAATTATATTATACATGTTATAAGTAAAATAAAAGAAAAAAATTATGGTTGGTCAGGGTCTTAAAAAATTTTCTCCCATCCCCACATATATTGAATTATGGAACAGCGCTGTTCCATAATTCAACATAAGAAGGTCAACAGCTTTTTTTTCCTTCTGACAGGTTTATTTCCTGTCAGAAGGGAAAAAAGCTGTTGACCTTCTTATGTCGTCAACAAATATACAGGTGTATATTTTTTAGTGTACACATTGTATTTTTACAGCATGAAAATAACATAGAAAAGGATAATATATGTACCATTTTAGACAGAATCTCAGATAATGTAAGAGTAATACTTTTTTAGTATCCATTGATTAAATTTTAAAAACTTTTAACTAAAAGTGTCTAAAGTAAGTTATTTCCCTTTAGCCTTTGTTTGTATTCCTACTTGTCATCTTTTTTTAAGCTTTGATACCTTTTCTATTAGCTGTTTCTTGTCTTGCATTTTTCAACCATCAATCACTCCTTTAACGTTGTACGCCGCTACAACAAAAGTCAGGGCTAATTAACTTAACAACAAAATTATTTTCATTTACCTGTGTATAATATGACGCAGGTTTCTTCAAAAGTGATGATTTTCTAAAAATTGTTTGACATTTCACAGTGATATCATACAGTCAGGGGTACTACTTGTACAAGTAATCTTTATTTACTTGAAGAAGTAAATAAAATATACTTCTATAAGTTAATTATAATGTTTGAATAATCTCCCCTTAATTTTCTCAAAAATTTACTTGTATAAGTAATTTTTTTACATCCCACAAAAAATTCTCAAATTTTGAGATGTAAAAACATGCCTTTAACAATTTTTCTCAGGTTAGCTCATAATTTTTTATTAGAGTTCAATGTTTCATTTCATTAATTCAACAAAGAAACTGATTGCGCAAAGATCTTAAGTATTTGCGCAAGGCCTTCAAAAATTGCCCCTTGGGGGCTTATAAATGAGCAGTGTTCTGAAGATAACAGACAAATGAGATTTGCATTGTCCATGAAATTACACTTAAATGATTAGTAAAGACACCCGCAAAGGACAGACAATTAAAAATTCTATTAGAGCAAAGAAGTCCTAAGAATTCAAGAAAAGAAGATTGGATGACTTTTTTACTTGTATAAGTAAAAAAATGTGAATGTCTAAGGGACATAACTAAGCCCATTTTTTGTTTACCTATACAAGTAAATAAAATACACTTGTATAAGTATCCTACAAATTTACTTATATAAGTATATTAATATTTACTTCTTCAAGTAAATAAAAATTACTTGTATAAGTAGTACCCCTGACTGTCATACTTTAACTTTGTTTAAACCTGTTTATTTACTTTTGACTTTAACTATTTATCCCTTGTAATTTTTTATTAACTCTGCATTTGCATTCAGGTGTCACAGGTCAAATTTATTTGTTCATTGTGTGTTAATTTACGTTTTGTGATTGATATTTTATAGTGTGTTTTTCTATGTTGTGATGTTACACTATTGTTTCAGAAAAGGGAGAAGGTTTGGTACCATTTAAACATTTAATCCCGCTGCAAATGTTTGCACCTGTCCTAAGTCAGGAATCTGATTACAGTAGTTGTTGTCTGTTTATGTAGTTCATACTTGTTTCTCGTTTCTCGTTTCTCGTTTTTATATAGATTAGACCAGTGGTTTTTTCCGTTTGAATTGTTTTACACTAGTAATTTTTTGGGGCCCTTTATAGCTTGCTGTTTGGTGTGAGCCAATGCTCCGTGTTGAAGGCCGTACCTTGACCTATAATGGTTTACTTTTATAAATTGTAACTTGGATGGAGAGTTGTCTCATTGGCACTCATACCACATCTTCCTATATCTAATTAAGTTTACCCCTGTTCTTCTGTCTCACAGTCCATCTGTTCATTTATTTATCCAACTGTACACAGACAATGTATATGGTTTGTCTGTCAAACTTCTCTCTTGAAAATGAAAAGGTAGAACCTTATGTTATAGAATTTTTGTGCATATATTCTGTCCATGTGCATCTGGACAGGATGTTGATGTGTTATAAAAACTATTTTATTTGTGCAGATGATGTCTTTTATGGTGACCGCCTTGGTGGTGTCGTGGTAGGATGTTTGCCTCGAGTGCGGGAGATTGTGGGTTCGAACCCTGGCTGGGTCAAACCAAAGACTTGAAAATTGGTATTTGCTGCTTCTCCTCTAAGCAGCATTAAGGAGTAAGAGCAAAGACTTGGCAGCTCGGAGTCAGAATAATGTGTCTGGGTAAGGTGATATGACTTCCTGCGGACTGTTACCTTGTGAACTCATACGGTGAAAAATCCAGCTCAGGGTGTCGGTCTAGTACAAAGCAGGGTTGATATTCACATAATACATCAACATGTTCTCGTCTGGAATATGCAAATTAATTTGTCGCTGGACGTTAAGCAGCCATCAATCATCAACATCAATTTTTAATGTAAAATATAGGAACAATTAACTATCAGCATGCTTAAGAAAGACAAACTTCCAAAAAAGAGTTTATTTGTTTTTGTAGGTAACAAATTTGGCTGACTACTTACATTCACCACCTTCATCAAGTGCTGATGATAGAGTAAAACCAGAAATCTATAATAAAATCAGTGAAAAAGTTTTGGGCCAGCATGGAGGGGAACTTACAGTGCACAATGGCATATTTAATAAAAACTTTGAAAATAAAAAAGATAAAAAGGCCTATTTTCCTGGAATGATTGTAGTTGGAACAGAGGTAAGAAATACTGACTGTTGAACAAGGCTGAGATAATATACTGTAAATTCAGAAATTATTTCGTGCATTTATTATGGCGATTTTTCAAGAATGGGTTAAAATGCGAGTTTTCTTATTGCAATTTCTAAAAAACCGCAGACAGATCTATGTTTCAGTTATCAGAATACGAGTTCTTATTATTGGGATATATATACTCACACAGTCACGTTATTCGCATTAATAAAAACCTTGCAATAATTTCTGAATTTACAGTAGTCAAATGGGTTTGTCCACACAAATTTTTCTGCATTCCACTGATACAGTGCGAGATTATCATTTTGCACATCCTATTTTCAATATAAGCGTATTATTAATAAGCATTAAAAAAAAAAACTATCTAAAAAAAATAAATAAAATTATTAAAACTTATGCCACTTGAAATTTTCAATCCTCATTTATTTGCAATTGCAAACATGAGGGTCTGGATGGGGTTCACAAAATAAAAAAAATTTGACATATCCTATAGAAAAATGGGCCAAAAAATACAACTAGAGAAAAAAAAGCCAAACAAAATTAAGAATAGAGAATAATGAGGTGTTAAAATATAAAGAATAGAGAAAAATTGGGCAACATTTTTACAGAAGAGAGAAAAAAATGCATTATAAAAATTAAAGAATTGAAGGAACTCCCCCAAAAATCCAGACCCTCAACTTATAAAGAATAATAAACAGCTGTGCCAAAAGCACATGAGACACCCTTAATACATGCATATTGAATTTGTTGCAACAATAAAATGGGATACATGTACATGTATTTAAAAGGCATTTAATCAGATAGCTCTGTGGATCATACCTGAGGAAATTACTGTTAAATAAAATATTACTGTTAAAAGTCCCTTAACTTTGGAATAACAAACCAGAAAATTTTCAAACTTTTATTACTAATCTACATTTGACAATCCTTAGAAAAGTGTTATTTTTGTAGTAATTTGATCCAATCACATTAGAGTTAGTGCGTAAAAAATTCCTTTTATTTATCTGTCGACGGAAAAAGTCCCATTACTCTTGATTGTTTTTTTTTAATTGAACAGTTTGTTATGTTCACCAATTCCAACAATTATGTAAAGTTTCCAGTTACTGTAAATTCAGAAATTATTGAGTGCATTCATTATTGCAATTTTGGTAAATGAACAAAAATGTGAGATTAATTATAGCTTTTTCAGGAGCAGTTGCATACAGATATATGTGTCAGATATCAGTATGTGAGGTCTTATTATTGCGATACTCATCCATTCACACTATTTGAGTTAATAAAAACCTTGCAATAATTTCTGGTTTTACAGTAATCAATCCAAGCAAACTCAAGTTATGGTACAAAGTGAAAAATTTACTTAAATCTGGCATATAAAGTCCATTATCTTTATATGCATGATATGGAACTACAAACCTGAGAATTTAAAAGATCAAAAGGGAGCTTCCTTCAATCAATATCCCAACCATTCTGTAAAAATTTGAGAAAATCAATCCAGGAATACTGGAGTATGTACGTGATATGTGAATAATTTCCTTAAATCTTACAGTAATAGTCTTGTAACTCAGGAACAACAAAGCTAAAAATTGAAAGGGAACTTTCGTCTGTCAATCTTAATATTGTTTTAAATTGGTAAAAAGCAAATTTGGATTATAACACAAAGTGTTGATATATGGATAGACAGAAGGATGGATGAAAAATGGTATACCATAATGTGTCCAATTTTTGAAGGGTGTATAGAAATGAATTAAAATATTAACCTTTGCTGTAATTTTATCATCAAAAATCAGGTTTACCTAATAAATATACAGTCCGCCAAAAGTTAAATACCACCTAAATATAACTGGCATTATTTATTTAACTATTGCGAAAAAAAAAAATATTTATGTTTGGTGTTATGAATTGCCTATAACATACACTAAGAAAATTCATTACGACCAAAAAAATAAACTCCGATCAACACGCCAAGCAATTTTTTATTAAAGGTCATCTGCACTTTTTCGAATACACTGTTTTGATGCCTTTAAATCATCTTCCTACTGCCTCGCGTACAGGTGACATTTGACCTTCACCAATTAAGTCACTGTGAAATATGGCAAGGGGTAAGTTATATGTGACTGAACCTTGACAAGCAATTGACATGTCAAATGCCGGTAGGAGCACTAGTTGCATAGGTAACCATTTCAATGTTAAACACACTCATTGTTAGATTTTTACAACGTCATCTTGACACAGGAACTGTAAATGATAGATCAAGGTCCGGAAGACCCTGTTTAACTACCGATCGTGATAACAGATTCCTTATTGGTTGCGCTAAAGCCAACCCATTTACTCCTGCTCCACAACTTAGACACCACTGGCGTCAAGGTGGTCATGTTAGTGTTCGAACATTGGTCCGTCGAGTTCATAGAGGCTACCTAAGAGCACGTCGTGTTGTGAAGAGACCTGCCCTAACAGCCAGGCACCGTATAATCAGGTTTCAAAGAGCTAATTAATGACCATCGCCGCTGGAACATGAGAAGCTGGCAAAATGTTCATTGGTCCAATATGAGTCAGTTTCTGTTACGACCAATAGACCGCAGAATACGAGTTTGTCGTGGAAATAAAACTGCTAATGACCAAAACAACATTTGCCCAACGACTGCATACGTTGCTGGTGGTGTTACAGTATGGGGTTTCTTATCATACTGTTGTAATTAATAAGGTGGGTATGCATATTCTGCAGGGTAACATGAACGGACAGACATACAGGGATTTGGTGCTTAGAAACATTATAGTCCCTCATTTTGATAATCCCTTAAGACCCTTGTGCATGTACAACAATGCTAGACCAAACAGGGCAAGGGTTGTAACCGAGTACAAAGAGTACAAAGAGCAAGAAGCCATTGACACTATCTTTTGGCCTTCCATGTCTCCAGACATGAACCCTACCGAACATGTCTTGGATGCCATTGGCAGAAATCTCAATCTGCAAAATCTTACCGATTTAAGAAGCACAATTGTTGCTGAATGGAATAAATTTGCTCAACTAAAGTTCAGAAGGCTTGTACAGAGTATGAGACTCCGTGTTATAGAACTGTACCGGAAGAGAGGGTGTTACACATCCTATTGACTCAAATATTGACATTAAATTTGCCGAAAATACCAAAGATTATTTGTAGAGACTTTTAATGATATTGGGTGATTAATTGTTGTAAAAAAATAAAATCACAGTGAAACTTAAATTCCGTTACTGATTTGTGTAATTTTCACTATTTCTATGAACGCAAATTTCAAATGCATAGAACCTACATACGTGAACAAACTTAAGTCTATGGTTTGTTAATGGTATATGCTAGCAAAATTAGAATATTTTCTCTTTTTTTTTCGAGGATTAACTGATTTTTAGGCAGTTAAGCTGCCTTATGCGAGCACCCTAGATTTGTGTACATGTTCTACCCAATAAATGCTGAAATACCTGCCATTGTTATTATCTAGCTGGCTATTATGTTACTTATAACTAATTGGACATTTTTTTAATACTTTTATTTCTGGAATACAAAAAATATGACCAGAAAAACCTTAAATGATCGTCGAACTACCCAAAACTTTTGAAGTTGCACATAGGAAATAGTGCTCAATAGAAATCCGTACGTAGTTTATTATCCCCTGTGCTTTTGGCTACAATGTCAAAGAACAATTGTATGAAATATTTCATCGCCGAAAATCGGTAATTACAAGTCGTTTATATTTCCCAAATTGCAAAATGCGCAGGAATATTGTTCATGTACAACAAATCTCTATGATAGAGGAAATAAATTTATATAAGTGGGCGGTAATTTTTAACTTATCTTGCCAAATAAGCGCGAATTAAGGTGGTTGTTATTTAATGAATGAAACGAGGTCATGAAACAGATGCGGAAATCGATGTTGATGGGATGTTTTAAGTAATGTGGACAACTCGTCCCCGAGACAAGTCGGACCGAATCCACTCAAACCGTCTAAGAAGACAACTTTGACCGTTTGTCAGATTTACTTAGGGTTTCATAAAATATTAGACTAACATGTCTAGCGGAGCCATTAATCTTTTGTTTGTGCATTGGGGTCTATTTAGGGGTATTTGGAGGGGCCTGAAGAAGGGAGGGGTTTTACTATAGAACCCTATGGGATTTAATTTTTTTTTATTTTCAAATGATTGTTTCTCGAAAACAGTAATTGATAGACACATGCAGTCTTCAGTAATGAGAACAGGACAAAAAAAAATCAACCAAAATATAGGGTGAGTCCCTGGGGGTCATTCCAACCCCCTTCAATTTGAAAATGTACTTTTATCTTGTAAACCGTCGCGATCCCCACCCCTAAACAATATATATACTTGTATGGGACAATAAAAGAATTCAAATGAAAATAATTTGGGGGAGTCCCCGGTGTCGTCCCACCCCCTCCTGTTTGAGAACTTGGAAATGGTCGAGATCCCCATCCCTAAACCATATATATTCATGTATGGGACAATAAAACAAATCAAATGAAATATAGGGGGAGTCCCTGGGGTCACCCCAACCCCTACTGTTTGAGAACTTGGAAATGGTTGAGATCCCCACCCCTAAACCATATGCATTCATGTATGGGACAATAAAACAAATTAAATGAAATATAAGGGGAGTCCCTGGGGAAACCCCACCCCCTCCTGTTTGAGAACTTGTAAACAGTCAAGATCCCCACCCCTAAACCATATATATTCATGTATGGGACAATATAACAAATCAAATGAAATATATGGGGAGTTCCTCGGGTCAACCAACCCCCTTCTGTTTCAGAACTTGGAAATGGTCGAGATCCCCACCCCTAAACCATATATATTCATGTATGGGACAATAAAACAAATCAAATGAAATATAGGGGGAGTCCCTTGGGTCACCCCACTCCCTCCTGTTTGAGAACTTGGAAATGGTCGAGATCCTCACCCCTAAACCATATGTATTCATGTATTGGACAATATAACAAATCAAATGAAATATAGGGGGAGTCCCTTGGGTCACCCCAACCCCTCCTGTTTGATAACTTGTAAACTGTCGAGATACCCACACCTAAACCATATTTATTCCTGTTCATAATTTCAAAAAGATTTGAATGACATACAGGGTCAATCTCCTAGGTGTCACATATGCATATCACTTTACTAGACCAAACTAATATGAACTGGACTTTGCCCAATGTCAGGAGACCATGGGATTGACAAATTATGGGGGCTTTGTTTGGAAGTCTTCGTAACCGCATCCTATTACAATTATTTCTTGTTTATTATAAAATTTTATTGATGCAAAAAATGAGTCTAGGTTAATTGAATTTACTTTAATTATTTATTAAATTATTTCTGGGCCTATAATAATTTTCATTTATGGCTCATTTTAAAGAAAACATATACATTTTTCAAGCAGTGTAAAGCCCGAGAATGTTTGACTTACTGTTTTACAATCACCTGTCATTTTATTCCAAACTTGGTATGGAGTAACATCATGCACTTGGGGGTGAAGATGGGGGTCATAAATTTACATTGATATATGAGTTGCTTTTGAAAACCTTGATGAAATATTAATTAATTTGCCTTAATAATCAATTCATTTAATGAACATAAATGTACAATATACCAATGTTTAATGTTTGTTCTTTCAAATCTTAAAAAAAAAATTGAAGCAACACTGCCACAGTTTTCATAATTACGTTTGCCTTTTATTTTTGGTTAACTGCCTACAGCGCTTACAGTGCTTTGATTTAAAATGAAAACAATTTTGATGCAATAAAAATAGTTGGTACTTAACTTTTTGCGGACTGTATATATTATGGGATCATAATTATGATCATAATAACCTCATATATCCTCATTTTTATTTGTACAAGTCAGATAGAGTGTTTAATTCAACTGTAGGGACGAACAAAATACTGCATGAACATTAACACACGACCTTGATTATCTACTATGCTCCTAACAGCAGACTTCCTTAGTACCTGTTTTGATCTTGTAACTCCCCTTTAGTAGAGGAGGTCATGTTTTTGATCCCATATCAGGTCAAACCAAAAACATGATATTAATAAAGCTATTCTCTGTTGAGGAAGCAGCATTTAGCAGTTACACAATGGACTGATCACCTCAGTCACAATAATGTGTCCTAATAGGATGACATGTTTTCCAGAACACTGTTGTTACCTTGTGAACTAGCACATTGAAAATCCTGCTCAGTATGGTGTCTAGTACAAAACATATTCATATTCATTTCACAATAGCGAATTCTTGTGCTGATATGCATGTAATATTTGCCACTGGACATTAAACACCAATCCATCCATCCATTCTACAAGCAATATATATATACTATTGAAAGTGCATTTTCAGAATACAAACATACAATATTTTAGTGTTGTATTGAAAAGAAGATGTTCACACTACACAGATTTAACTCAAACACTGTTCCAACTGGGTATTGCAGTTGGTAAAATTTCTTGTTGGTCCCAAGTGTCCGTATTACATATTTCAATTACTGACTGTGTTTCAAATTTTAGTTATATTTGCAAAGGGAAACAACACCAAGGTAGGACAAGGACAGACTGTATCCCTGCATATACAAACCTTATGGTCGGAGAACTTGTTTTGGTGGTTTTGATGTTAATAAGCTTTAATGAATTTTCATTAGATAATCACTTATTTTTCAATTCCATGTTTTACCATAAATGTTTAATGTACTGAAAAAATAAAAATTATTGTCAGATCTTGGGTATTCCATTCTTTCTTTTATGTATAGGCAGGGATACAGTTTGTCCTACCAAGATGATATTTCCCTTTGCTAAAAAAGTTTATTATAATCGGGAGAGAAGTTAATGTGATTATGGGTTCTCCTATGGAATGTAAACATATATATTTTATTCTTTAATCATTAATCTCACACTAATGTAACCCTCAAACATTGAGTACAGTTTTTGTATTCTGTATTTTTACCTAATCCGGGATTGAATTTGATGGGGTATGGTTGGACTAACACTCTGGGCAGGCTAAAATGACAAAATTTACCTGTACTTTACTGTTTACATAATGTAATAGAATTAATGTAATTACTTTAAAATATTATTATTTACTTCTAGGTAACCTTGACACTGCTGGTTATCAGTTATGAGCATTTTGCGGAACTCTTTGAGAAAAAAGTGGTGGAGAAAAGTGAAAGTTATATTTACTACTCAGAAACAAAAGATATGTTAAAGAAAGAAGAACGTGACCAGTTGTTGGAGGCATTCGGAAGATTGCAAAATACAGCGTGTCAGGTACAATAAAAAATATTTATGTAAAATTTTCTGAGCACTTGAGATCACCCTGGTTTTTGGAGTAACTTTTGCTCTGTCTTAAGTTTTCTATGTGGTGTTCTATAGGTTGTTGCTTGTCTTTTTGCCGTTTTTGTTTTTTTCAATGATGTCATTTTATTTGAATGTCCTATTTGGTATCTCTTAAGACATCAAACAACAATCAATCTATCAGTGGTTGTGATTTTTTATCCTTTCCTCTTTACTCCTCATTGCAGAGGGACACCATACTTTGAGGGATAATTTATAACTAATTAAAAACTTAATTAGCTTAATGCTGTAAGCTTATGTATTTGTTACTCAGCTTAAAGTGCAATTAAGATTATTTAATTGTGTTTAAAATAAAGCATGTTTGATGTAATGTGAAAAACTCTAAAATATTCTGTTTCCATATTTCGCAAATTCAGATGAAGTCATTTTTAGTAACAGTAATTAATTAATGAAATATGATTGAATAAAAATCCTTTATTAGCTGATAATAAGTGTGTATTATTAATATAATATTTCTAATACAACTTTACATAATTAATACAGTACAACTTTTAAAATTATCAAATTCGATCATTAGTCAAAAAGTGTGCTGCTTTATGAATGAATTGCAGTAACTTAGATTTTGATTGAAGTTCCTTATTATAATAAATGTTATAATGTCCAAGGCAGTATGCCAAATTTTTGTCACATTCACAAGTTGCTTGGTGACAGAAATCCTTGTCCACTGAAAATATAAACCATGAATTAGTACATTAACTGTAAATTATGAATGAATAATCAAAAATAACAAAAGAAGTATGGTTATAGCCATTATTTGGCTGATGGAAAGGCGGAAAATAGTTCAGCTACTTAATTAAATCCTTTTGTAATAAATTAAATAGAGAATGGAAATAGGGAATGTGTCAAAGAGACAACAACCAAACCAAAGAGTAAAAAAACAGGCCACCAATGGGTCTTCAACACAGCGAGAAAATCCAGCACCCGGAGTAGGACTTCAGCTGGCCCCTAAACAAAAATGTGTAGTTCAGTGAAAATGGACGTCATACTAAACTCCTAAACATATAAATGAACTAAAATTAAAAAACATACAAGACTAACAATGACCAGAGGCTCCTGACTGGTGCAAAAATGTGGCGGGATTAAACTTGTTTAGTGAGATCTCAACCCTCCTCCTTTACCTCTAGCCAATGTAGATTAAACAAACACACAGCAATACGCACAGTAAAACTCAGTTTAAAAGAAGTCTGAGTCCGATGTCAGAATAGGTAACAAAAGACTGAAATTAAGCAAAATGACAATGATACATAAACTAACAAAGGACCGCTAGCAGTTATTGACATGCCAGCTCCAGACCTCAATCAAATAAAGGCAACAATAGTATACCGCTGTTCGAAATTCATAAATCGATTGAGAAAAAAACAAATCCGGGTTACAAACTAAAACTGAGGGAAACACATCAAATATAAGAGGAGAACTACGACACAACAGAAACACAACATTAAAATGTAACACACACAGAAACGAACTATAATATAACAATGGCTATTTTCCTGACTTGGTACAGGACATTTTAAGAAAAAATGGTGGGTTGAACCTGGTTTTGTGGCTAGCCAAACCTCCCGCTTTTATGGCAATTTTAAATATAACATTAAAATGACAACATTACATGACAGGACTACTTTAAACTGGTTGAAAGATTATGTCTTCATCATATGAAAATCAAGCACAATCCCTGCCATTATGGGTTTAGTATCATACCATCATAAAATATATGAGAAGAACATAACCCGTATCATGCCAATAACTGGTTTTAGAATAAATGTTTTATTTCCGATGCAAAGACCCTATGAGTAAATCAATATTAATACCAAAATATGCCATCTTTAATGACCTGACAACAGTATCATAACTATATCCCTTATGAATAAGTCTGTTTAAAGGTTTGGTTAGCTTTTGAGGTGAATGCCGATATTGTTGTGCTTTGTAAAGGATATTACCATAAAAGATTGGATGTTAAATACCCGAACGTATAAGAAGTCTGCATGTTGATTTATATTTACGAATGATGTCCTTGTACTGATGATAGAATTTAGTAAATGTTTTGACTTGTTTGTGATATCAAAAACTCTGGTGTAATAATTTTTCATCATACAGTAATTTCTTTCATTAAAAACAAGTACATTGTTACATACACAAGCGAATCAAACAATTTAAGATATATAAACACCATAAGATGGTGACAAGGGAACGTGACCATCTAAAAATAGATAATTAACAATAGGAAATGAAAAGTCATCTCTTTTATCATAAATTTTAGTATTCCTGTTAAAGATATAGATATCAAGATCCAGGAAAGGGCAGTGTTCATTGTTAGTATTAGCTTTATTTAAAGTCAGTTCAGCAGGATAATTTAAATCTCTTTAGTGTACATACTGAATTCGTCATTATTGAGAGCCAATATATCATCCAAATATCTAAAAGTGTTATTAATTTTTTGTATCAGATGTTGTTCAGATGGATCGTTGATGATTTTAGTCATTAATTGTAACTCAAAACAATACAGAAACAGGTCCGCAATGAGTGGTGCACAATTAGACCCCATTGGAATTCCGATAACTTGACGATAAACGGAATCTCCATAGTGAACAAAAATGTTATCTAGCAAAAATTTAAGGGCAGTTATAGTATCACTGCAGGTCCAATAGTTCTTTTGTTTGTTGTTACTAAAAATGACCTAAAGTTAGTTATTATTGGCAATCATACCACATCTTTTTTTCGATTTTTCTTTAGACAGACGAGACATATCTCTATGTCAACAGTTTATTTTTATCTATAGTATGGTTTCAGTGACAATGTATGATTAATATCATTCACCGTGGCAAAATGTGTGACATAAAACTTGTTTCATATTTAACGTACATTGTATATGCCAGAAAGAATGACTTTATATTAAGTAATGGTAAATTTTATATGCGCAATCGACTTACTCAAAAAAGATATTTATTCCGCATCTACATCATTGTTTAAGATATATTTTAAAGAAACTATTTTATAGAGTAAGCCTATTACTCATGGTCAAATATTATAATAACTTCTACCTCTGCACTCGATTAGATATGACTTCATCATTACTTTTTAGGGTATTCTGAAGGCAATTAATTAAACTTAATTTTTGTGTGGAAAATCATATGTGTAAATTTTGAAATTATTGCGATGTTTTTATTATTGCGAAAAATGCGACAGGGTTTTAATCGCAATAATTTTAACTCGCATTATTAATTTTTTGAATAGGTATTAAACAGGTTTTTCTCGATATCGCAAAAATTCAAATCACATTTTAGTCTAAAATGACAAAATCGCAATAATAAATGCACGCAATAATTTCTGAATTTACAGTACATTTATAAGTTAACTACTAATCATAGTGTTTCAAATACAGTATGTTTGTATCCAATGAAATAACTTTTTCCATTTTTCTTAAAAATTGAAACATAAAAGCTTTGTCCACAGTGACAAAAACACTTGATTGTACAATTTCCCTTTTTTTTAGACCTGAAAACAATTGACCATAGTGATTGATGGACACATTATAAAGAAAACAACGAGGAGAGGACGGACGTCAGAGTCATCAACTGACATGCCTGAAGACATAAATTGCTGAGATGATTGAATATTATTTTCTAGTCTACTTTGATTTGATACAGATGGAGGTTGTACAGGAATTATAACTCAATTATAAAAAAGGTGTATTCAGACTTTTGGAAATGGAGATTAAACAAACAATGGATTTAAAAGTGACTTAGCTACATTTAACAGAAAACCATGACATAGTGAAAAATTAGAGAGGAATGTTGCATTACTATCTTTGGTAAATGATGTGTATAAAACTTTGTGTATATACATTGTGTACCATCATTTATGTGCACTATGTTCGTAAAAATATTCACGGTTTTATTTGATATGTACCAACCTTCTTGTATTCCGTCAGAGATTGATTTTGGTGTCTTAGGAATGGTCCTTGCCTTCAAAGTGGTTACATAAGCTGATATAAATGAAAAAAAATATATGTATTGAAGTATCAGGCTATATAACAATCACGCAAATTTTAAAGGAGTATCTTGACAAGTGTTACATGTGGAGCAGGATCTGCTTACCCTTCTGGAGCACCTGAGATCCCACTTGGGTTTTGGTGTGGTTCATGTTGCTCAGTTCCTAGTTTTGTATTGTGTTGTTTTTCTTTTGGTGGTTTACATTTTTTTGGCATGGCGTTGTCAGTTTGTTTTCAACTTATGAGTTTGAATGTCCTTTTGGTATCTTTTCGCATCTCTTTCAAAAAAGTGACTCACATGCATAAAACCTAACAAATTTCATTCAGATAATTGACTTATGGCTGCGTACACATCACAAAAAAGGTTGTGGATCTTCTCACACTGCTTGTTCATATATATAACAGTATATTATAACAATGAACATGTTTAAAGTAGAAATTATAGGTTACTTTAAAGTTTGTATTCTGAACAAAATATCAAAAATAATATAGACTGTCCACCAATGAATCACCTTTTGCATGATTCAAGGTTGAGTGTTACAGATTTACCTTTTACAAATAAGAAATAGTATACATTTAGTGATATCAGAGTACATTGTACATCCTAAGGCTTATCAAAATATATGAAATAGTAAACATTTGTCCAGATGACTTACACAACATAAAGCCTTGAATATATGATATTTTCGTCTTCTCAAATGTATTTTGTAACCAAGTCATTGCTGTTAGAATGAATTTCTGCCAGCATGGTAATTGCAGTTGACTGAAATTTGAGGAACTTTGATCATAGTAATAAAGGTTTCAATGCCAAACAGCAGTTTCTTCTAGATTGGTTAACTTAGTATACATATTTTACTTACGACACACAATCTGATAATTAACCAGTGTCCAGTCATATTTACTTAGTAGCACATGACGACATCCATAATTCTGTAATCTTCCATAACAATTGTCATGAAGGTTGCAGCACCTAGAGATATAAACAAGAAATACATGAGTATGAAATTTATTCTATCAAGGGGTGTGGTAAAAGTGAATATGATACATATACAAGATGAACCGTGATTTATTGTTAACAAAATGTTTAGACCTCAGCTCAATAAAAAAAAATGTGATAGAAATTCATAACTGTACTAAAGGATTTGTACAAATTCTTGATTTGCCTAACAGATGAATGAAGAAAGTATTAATTTGGCAAAAATAAAAGTTACTGCCTCGGACATGTCCGATATGCTCTTTGTGAAGTATAAACATGTGTTGTGTTTAGTACATGTAAGAGCAAACCATGCTCTGTATCACAGTATGTGATGTATGGGTAATAACTAAAATTAGATTAACCAATATGTATGTATCGAGAACAATTTGAAGTCAGTAGCACATGATGTACTTGATGTTTGTTAACTAATAAAAATAAATTTTACAAATAATTTTAAATGTAGAAAAAATGAATTCGATAGGTTAATTGTCTCAAAAATCAATTTAACCCACAATTTTGTCATACAAATATCTTTCACAGAAGCAGTTGCAATCATTGTTGTTTTTCATTTTTTTTAGTACGGTTACAATTTATAAAAACACATGTATTTGGAAGTACTTTACCAATCAATGCTGTCCATTATTTGACCTTTACCACCCTTGCCACAGAAATGGCCATATTTATTAAAATCCAAGCCATATCGCCCCGTGGTAAAAGATATCATGTCGCTCATCGCAAGCAAATTTCGCTTTGTTCTTTGTTTGACTGCAAAACCTGAAACATAATTGTATCACATAGCTATATATATAGAATATTAATCATATATTATGCATGTACGGGCTGATATTGTAGTACATGTAGAAGTGATGCCCTTGTAGTCACACAATTACTTTTTTTAAATAGTTTTGCAGTATTGGTGTGGATAATTAAAACATTTATATTGAATTAATTTTACTCTAAAAGGTTGTTTCCTCTTTACATTACAATCATAATAAAAAGTTTAAATTTATTTTACGTAAACTGTTCCCAATTGGTGAATAGTTTTGTGCTAGGATTTCAACATATATATATATATATTTCTAATAGCATTTCAACACTTGAAACATTGATATATATATATATAGGTGTATCAAGTTATTTCAGTGATTGAGGGTGTCCTGCCCCAAAAATTAAAAATAATAAGATAAAAATAGAATATTGGTATACACTTCCTGTCATACAATTGAGAGGTTTAGCTAGCTATAAAATCAGGCTTAATCCACCATTTTCAACATGAGGAAATGCCTTTACTAAGTCCGGAATATGACAGTTGTTTTCCATTAATTTGATGTGTTTGAGCTTTTGAATTTGCCATTTGATAAGGGACTTTCCGTTTAGAATTTTCCTTGCAGTTCAGCATTTTTGTTATCATACTTTTAACATTTGTTAAGAAATCGTAAATATTGAGAAATAACTTTTTATGGTAGGATTTCAACATACATTGATTTTAAAGGTATAATATGCTATTTCAAACTGTTTCTCGCTGTTATTAATTATTGGGAATTGAAGTTTTGTCGAGCCTGCGACTTCTGTCGCAGAAAGCAAGACATAGGGATAGTGATCTGGCAGAGGATCGAGGCGGCATCAACTAACTACTTAAGGTAGCACTACAGTCTAACAATGATTTTTTGAAGATATCTTTTTTATCACATAATTTTGAAGTAAGTATTATTCTGCACAGTTTGTAAAAATCCCAAAGTCATTATCATATCACAACAGGGAGTAAATTGATAATGAACTTATGTAAATAAAAGCACATGTAATTAATCTCAATATATAGGCATTTGGGAGGGGCTAATATGTCAATCATCTGTTGATACCAGTGTCCAGCTGTTAATCCCTGACCACAAGATAAATATCTCATTGCATTGCAACAAAACTAATTTATAAAACATGGAAGTTTAGAACAGACAAAAGAAAAAGATATGAATAGGAAAAAATTTAAAGGGAAAAAATCTACCAAAATGAAAAAAAAAACTATGGAAAAGAGTGTGAAGATATCTTTGAAAGCCTCTGACTGCCTGTATAAATTTCTCGTCTTTAGTCTTCTACATTTAAAAATAATTTTAGGCATTTTAACTAATTTTAAGTTTATGTGAAATTTGTTAATTCCATGAAACTCATATCATGTTGGACAGTCTATTTTCAAGAAGGGGATGGTCTTGATCTTTTTATGGACATGTATTTTAATTTTAATATTTTAGCTAATTTCAGTCATCATGGTCATATTGATATATTTCTTTTTAAAATGCAAATGAAAATTATTCTTTATAGTGAGAATAATGATGTTAAATATTAATTATGATGCAGCTGGCCAATCCTGTTATTCTCTTATCTTTGACTGTCTGGACAGAGGCGGAGCTTTGTCTTTATTTAATTACTACATCACAGATGTTGGTCAAATCTGTGACGTCAAACTCCCACCAAATGCCAAGTTAGTGTTATACAGTGCACACAAAATGCAAATTTTACAGCATTAGAGCATCAAAGACACAATGTGTGTGGTTCTATTGATAAAGTAATGGTGTCAGAACACTCCTAGGGTGTTCCCAGTGGAATTTTTGTATACATGTGGCATTTATAGGGGTTCTTAAGAGGAAATTCAGTTTTAAGGTCATTTCTCAGAACAATTTTTCATGAGAATTGTAAGGAAAAAATGAAAATAGAAACTTTATGGGTACCCCTTTGGCTTGACTTTGATATATGTGATTGAAGGGAGTATTTTCTACAATACCGTGTCCCAGTTTTTGGATAATTTGTTTCCAAATGAATTTATAGGTCTCCAAAGATGAAAGGTGAAATGAGGTTTGGCTTCCAGCAGTAAAAATAATATATCTTATTACTGGAGGCATATATCAAAAATCTGAGACACGGTTTTGTAGATTGTGAATGGTTGATTAAAGGGATGAAAACAAATTTTTACTACCATTTGACCTGCATGTGCCATTTTCATCCAAGTTGGAAGACCGCTTTTTTGGCAATTAATGAGCTATATTTTGAGATTATTCATACCAAAAATAAATTTATCTAAAGATTAAGAAAGAGTTATATTTCAGCTTTAAAATGAGTTAAAGATTTTAAAAATCCATTTGGTAGTTTTGGAGAAATTAATCTTTAAAGACTGTTGGTTGGAGGCAGAAAATTCTGACTGTAGTGCTACCTTAAAAGCTTCATATTCCAGAAGGTAGAAGACCTGGATGCTTCATACTTTGTATATTGAAGCCTTATGTTATGAAGTTTCCGTCTGTAGTATGTACATTGCCCTTGACTACATGTTCATGGTTCAGTGACTTCTTGAAAAAAAAGGTAAGAATCTTTGAAAATGTTAATTTCTCTCTTATTATGAGTAATAGGTCAACTATATTTAGTATGTGCGTACCTTGCAAGGTCCTCATGCTTAACAGACAGTTTTCACTTGACCACGACCTCATTTCATGGATCAGTGAACAATGTTAAGTTTTTGTAGTAAAGTCCATATCTCAGATACTATAAGCAAAAAATCTAATATATTTGGTGTATGGAATGATTGTAAGGTGTACATGTCCAACTGGAAGGTGTCATCTGACCTTGACCTCAATTTCATGGTTCAGTGGTCAAAGTTAAGTTTCTGTGTTTTGATCTGTTTTTCTAATACTGGATGCATTAGGTCAACTATATTTGGTGTATAGAATGATTGTAAGGGGTATATGTCTGTCTGGTATGTATCATCTGACCTTGACCTTATTTTCATGGTTCATTGGTCAATATTGAGTTTTCCTAGTTAAATTTGTTTTTTTACATACTATATGCAATAAGTCAACTATATTTGATGCATGGAATGATTGTAAGGTATACATGTCTGTCTGGCAGAGTTCATCAGACCTTGACCTCCTTTCCATGGTTTGGTCTGTTTCTTGAACAGATACTTATAAGCAATAGGTCAACTATATTCGGCGTATGGAATGATTGTAAGGGGAACATGTATTTCTGGTTTGGTTTATCTGACCTTGACCTCATTTTCTTGGATCATGTTAATTTTATGTGATACTTGTAGTAAAACTTTATATTTAGGACTATCAGCATAAAATCAATGGTCAGTAAAGAAGGCGAGACATTTTAGCGTGTGCACTTGTATTGTGAGAGAATAAAACACATATGTAGGTTTAATGTGTGAGATCAAAATGGTTCTCTGTGTCAATATGTATATTGCCTAACATAAACAAACGAAATAAACGGTTCTTAGATTATTAGCAAAACTTCTATTTATCGGAAACACATCACACATTAATTACTGGTGTCAAACTTATATGAATTGATTTGTATGCATCAGTCTCTGTGCCTCACACACAAATGTAGAAACGGGGTCCTTGCTGACATGTCAGGTTTTTAGCTCACCGTTCCGAAGGAACCGTGAGCTTTTGCCATCACTTGGCGTCGTCGTCCGTCGTCCTCGTCCGTCCGGTGTAAACTATTTCAAACATCTTCCCTCTGAAATTACTAAACCAATTCATACCAAACTTAAGCTGAATGATCCTTAGGGTATCTAGAATAAAGTGTGTGTTTTATTTTCTGTTTCGTCAAAAAACATGGCCGCCATGGCTAAAAATGGAACATAGGGGTTGAATGCAGTTTTTATACGACCGCAAAAAATTTTGCGGTCGTATATTGGTATCACGTCGTCGTCATCGTCAGCGTCGCCCGAAGACAGTTGGTTTCCGGACAATAACTTAAGTATAATTGGATAGAAATTTTTGAAATTTAAACTCGAGGTTTATAACCACAAAAGGAAGGTTGGGAGTGATTTTGGGGGTTATGGTCTTAACAGTTTAGGAATTAGTGGCGAACAAGGGGCCCAAATAAGCATTTTTCTTAGTTTCCAGACAATAACTTGCGGAACGGTGTATGGATCTCTCTGAAATTATACCACAAGTTTCCATACCACAAAGTGATGGTTAGGATTTGCTTTGAGGGGTTATGGCTCAAACTGTTTAAGAATTAGGGGCAAACAAGGGGATAAAACAAAGGTTTCCTGGTTAATTGACAATTACTTCAGACAATTTAAAAGCAGCGAAAGGGAGGTAATCCAAACACAATGTTTTGACCCAATGAACATTTTCACCCCATGTCAGATTTGCTCTAAATGCTTTGCTTTTTTGAGATATAAACCAATAAATTGCTTCGCCGAGCGCAGCTGGATGCGACAATACATACAATACGCAACAGCATAGTGCATTGCATTTGTTTTTGTGCATTGCACAAAAGCAAAAAAAAGGGGTATTTTTTTTGTGGGGGGAGGGGGAGGGGGTCAATTCGCAACAGCAAAGTATTGCACTAAAGCAAAAAGATTGAATATAAATTCAAATCATATAACCAATTCTAAGTCATATAACCAATTCTAAGTTCTTTGACTACAGTTATTCTGTGTCAGAAACCTATTATGTGTCAAATAATTAATTACAATCCAATTTCAGACCTGTATCAAGCGCGAATATTGTGTCCATTTTTGCCCCAACTGTTCAGGATTGGACCTCTGTGGTCGTATCCAGCTGCGCTCGGCGAAGCAATTTATTGGTTTATA